GCTTCTTTGCCCTTTCTTTTGCTTCAAAGATATCCTTGTCGCCTTGCCAGCCATCTTCTCGTAGTTTCGGGTTGCAATATTTGCACTCAATAAACAAATGGTACTCGCCACAAAAGCACTTCGGCTTTCTTTGCTTGTGACCTCCGTTTGTATCAGCCATTCCTAACGTAGCTGAAAATGTCCCTATTCCTGCTGCTCTAGGGCTTGTACGACTGTGGAATGTTCGAAATTTCGACACGTAATCTCGTAGAGATGGAACTGGTGTTCCTGCTTCGTCCTTAGCAAGGAGATCAGTGAGCGTCATTGTTGCCCATGCGTCATCGAGTGGTTTGACGGCAATGAGGAAGTCTTCCTGGCTCCGAGAACCATTTACGTCCGGTAGATTAAGCGTTCTCATCTGGTCGGTGATCTTGATCCAATCGTCCAGCCATCCTTCAACCGCTCGGCCTCGCCGTGTTGCTTGCAAGTCCCTGTACTTGACTACAAGCTCGCGTGATCGTCTTGCAGTGTTCGGCGAAAGGTGCTCCTTAAGAGCCTTCAGTCGTTCGTAGGCCGTTGATTTGCCTTCGAGTAGATATAGATTGCTTCGTGCAGTTGTCTGCGCAATCTCCGATGTCAATTCATTCAGTGCCTTCTGCCGGTGCAGATAGGTCTTTTGGTCGTATTCCCAGGCGTCTAGCAGGTCCTGGTAGTCGAGTCGTTGTTCATGAGTAAGCTGTGAGCGAAGCGTTACTCCTTCTGCTACAGTAGCAGGCGTCGGTCGCACAGGTTCAATAAGCTTCTTCAGCTCATGTTGCGACATGTCGGGATTGCAGTACTCCCATATACCATTAAGAGTAGCTTTATCCCGCCTAAGAAACAGCCATTCTTGCCAATCAGATGGCTTCTCAAGAATGACGGTAGTCTTGGTCACAAGACTAGACGATTCGGTTGCAGCCATTGCGACAAGCAATACGGTGGCAGCAAAAGACGTTCAACAAGGTATTCGACAATCAAACAAACAATAGAATACACTTGAGGAAAGACAAGTGAACAGCAGTTATTGAAGAAGGGTGCAGTAGCACGTATCCGGGCTCATAACTATCGCAGTAGACAAGACGTCAACAACTGCATATGAGAACTGCGTTGATTGTCCTACGGAGTAGATACACAAGGTTATATACATAAGATATACGTAAGCACATAACGGCAAAGGAGTGAAAGTGAAGGTTGTAGAACATTCGGCCAAGAAGCATCGGGCCGATTCCAAGAAGGGTAGTCCTGAATGGCAACACATTCACATCACTTGTGACCTCTGGACGTCAAGCAACAGACTCGGTCTGATGGGCGTCGTAGCATACTTCGTTGATGAAGATGGGGTTCTCCGTAATCTCACGATCGCTCTTCGAGAGATAGAAGGCTCTCATTCAGGTGAAAATATGGCTAAGATCCTTTGGGATGTTCTGTCAGAATATCAGATCCTGACCAAGCTGGGGTACTTCACTATGGACAATGCAAGTAACAACGATGCCATGTTATTAGCACTCGAATGCCGACTTCAAGAAGAAGGAATAGAATGGGATTCGACTAATCACAGGCTTCGGTGTAACGGCCATATCATCCAGCTAGCCGTAGGAGCCTTTCTGTTTGGACGTCATCCAAATCTCTCAGATAGCGATGATCTTACCCGCGAGGACATTGCTCAATGGCGCCAATTGGGTCCTCTTGGAAAATTGCACAATATCGTTGTTTGGGTCCAACGCAGTCCTCAGCGAATGCAGGCTTTCAAGAAAGACAGTGGTGGCAAAGCTCCGAAACGTGACAACAACACACGTTGGAACTCATGGTTTGAGATGCTAGATTGGTCCCTTAAGCCTGAGCTTCACCTTGCTATCGAGAAAGTTAGCTTCTCGGAGAAAGACCTCTACAATGATCGATTGACCGATGCCGAGTGGGCTGTTCTGGCCAAGATAAGAGATTTCTTGCAACCGTTCAAGGATACGACGATGGCTACGCAAGGCCGCACAGCAACCCTGGAACACGTGCTTCCTTCGATGGACTTTCTTCTACAACACTTCGAAGACGCCAAGACCACCGCAATTGAGGATAACGATCCTATCATGGTAGCTTGTATCGAGACGGGCTGGGCCAAGCTTAATCACTACTACAACCTTACGGATCGAAGTCCTGTATACATTGCCGCTATTGTCCTCAATCCAAAGTGGAAATTCGAGTACTTCACGGGCATATGGACTCCAGGGTGGGTAGAAGATGCAAAACAGCAGTTGCGTGGGTTCTGGCAAGAGCATTACCAATCGAAAGGAGTATCAACCGAGACGGTCACTACGGCCATTACACCAACTCCAAGGAATGCGTACCAGGCTTGGATTAATTCCAAATTAGCCCCCGTGGACTGCGTCGATGAATACTCCCGATACCTTACTGACCCAACTTTGCCACATATTGTCGATGCCTTGCCGTGGTGGGTGCAACAACGAGGTCAATATCCAGCCCTAGGAACAATGGCTATTGATATTCTATCAATTCCGGGAATGTCCGACGAGCCTGAGCGTGTGTTTAGCGGGGCAAGACGAACAACCACTGATTTCCGGGGATCTTTAAAGGCGTCTTCGATTGAAATGCTGGAATGTATCAAGTCATGGAGGGGGTCAAGTTAGGTTGTTCTATTTATAGCGAATACTAATAGTATATACTATTAGTATCAGTATAAGCATTGAATTATCAGTATCGTATGGTATGGATACCAAGCCGTGTGGTATGATATCGTATAAGCCAAATACTAATAGTATACGCACTATTGACACTATTGGGAGCCCTGGAATAGAGTGGTGTCTTCGATAATCCATTGCCCATGGCGTTCCGATAGGATAGCAATGATTGTTCCATCCCATCGTCGCAGGCTTGTTGGATCTTCCCGATTGTCCCACCATATTCCTTGTCGTCGGAGTAGCCTGAATGATACTAGGCTGCAGAGGAAGTCTGGACACCACGCAACGTTGACTATGTGCAGGGTTTGTTTGTCCTGAGATCCCTCTGTTGTCAATGTGACAGCTCCGTATCCTCGTATCCAGACTTTGGAACTGCCGGCCCAGATGTAGTCCCCTGGCGTCGACGGGCGTACGTCTTCAATTCTTGAGAGGTCGTTGCAGATGTGCGTAGTCGAGCCGGAATCCAGGGTGAAGGCATCCTTTAATGGATATCCTTGTTGGCTTGCGCTGAATGCCGCTTTCATCGTGCCCTCATCAATTCTTGAGATTTCGCGTCCATCTAGTCATTCAATGACTGCGTCCGGTGTTTGTGATGTCTTGATATGAGGTGTAATCGATCGTGACGTTGTCGAGAATCGAGGTCGTTTAGTCTCTGGGGACATTTCCTGCATCGTTCTCTGTAAGTTGGTGTCATTTTCAAGTTTGTACTGTACTAATCTTGCGATGCCTCGATTTGGCTTGAACCATTCAGGTGCCTTGGCTTTGTTTACATAGTAGCAGTCAGATATCTCATGACGCTGTTCACAAGCAGGACATATGTCTCCAGCTTTCGCTGAATTCCTCTCTGGGATCTGCTTGGTTCTGGTACTTTGACCATCCATCTTGCGTTTGTTTGATTGCCTAGGGTTTCCCCGGCCTTGGTTGGATGGCGCTCTTAATTCCACACTAGAGGCGTCCCTCAGTGTGTCCGAGTCGGGTTCACCGCTCGCCGCGTATGAGTCTCCTACCGCGAAGGCGCTCTTTGGCTTCCCTCTTGATGGATAATGAAGACTCATATATTCACGGAAGAGTTTCATCATCCTTTTCCTATTTATGGCTTTCTTATCGTACCCTGGCCTTTGGAACCCTGCGGTCCAGGTTGATGCCATTTTAGATATTATTATTATTTGTTGAGAATACAGTCCGTAAGTGACTTGGTGGTATCAAGCGGAGGAGTAGTCACATGATTGGTGACACGTGCAGGTGGGTCCTAGCGGGGAGCTTGGACGCAGCTGCACGCAACACGGATCTACGAACGTGTGAATAGCTCCTTAGTCAATACAATACGAGTCGTACCACCACTACCGTTGTGCCTTAGAGAGCGCTCTATTAGGTAGTCATACTACTACTAATAGTGCCAGCTTTTCAATATTATTATTATATTTCCATTAGAGTCCTGTATCAGTCGGTGACTATGTAGGACTTTGGCTAAGCCGTTCTATGTATGATGGTCGTTGTGGAGTTTCTATGGGTCTTGTACAATTTGGGTGGTGTTTTGCGTACTCCAATTTCAGAGCTAGTCTTCCATTGGCGCGGGTGCTAAAGAGCAGTGTGGTGAATAGAAAGAGATGTAGCAGCGGGCTCTTTTAGATAAGGAAATATTGTTTTTGTAGTTTTATACAGTGTCTGTCTGTTCGGTGGTTTGCCCAAGGTGCCATTTTCTCGTGCCAATCCTAGTACTTGCAATAAAGGCTAGAGTAGCTTTGATGCCTGTCTTTGTTTGGAGGAGGAGTGGGAGGGTGATGGGTCTGTGTGGTATTGCTTCTTTGAGTGTATTTCGATGTGTTTTGTACTGTTTGCACTCTAGAAGTAGATGCTGTGGTGTTTGTGGTTTGTAGCATATACATAGATTGCAGTCTCTCTTGTTGAATCTCTTAAGGTAGGAGTTGAAGTATCCATGTCCTAGCTTGAGTGAGTAGAACGCGCTCGAGATTTCTCTTGGTGTTCCCTTCGGGACTTTGATTGTTGTATGTGTGTTGAGCTTGAAGATCCTTGAGTAGGAGCTTCTGTTTTTGGTGGGCCTGTCGGTATACCTCTTGTACTCCATCAGTTGTTCTGTTTTTTGTATTTTGTTGATTTCTGTGCCTAAGTAGGCTAGGCTCGCTATAGTCGATGTTGTTGGTCTCTCTTTAGCTGCTTCCTTTGCTAGCGTGTCGGCTTTTTCATTGCCCTTGACGTCGTTGTGTCCTGGGGCCCACTGCAGGTGGATAGATGCTTTCTTTGTCGTTATTCTCTTTGCAGCTCTGATGCATCTTAGTAGAATGCCATTTTAGATACGGAGCCTAGGAAGTCGTCTATTACGGCTTGTGTTTGCATAACCTCGGCCACCTCAAGGGTTTCAGCTCGAGTTGCAGCCTGATCGTATTCATTTAGCCACGTCTCCCAGTTTGTGGTTGAACGCATTGGCTTGAGTGCGGCTTGGTATCTCTCTCGTGCTCGCGCTCTCTCCTCGTCCTCATCCACTCCAACTGTGTCTTGGAGGGCGGTTATCCAGTCGCGCGGCGTGCCGTTCTCGGTGCAGCAGCTAAGTTGTAAATGGGGTGTTACGGTTGTAAGGATGTGTTCGACCATCTTTGAGATTTTGTTGCTTTCTTCTTGATAGTCCCTCTCCCGTATTTTGTATGACTCAAGGCGCAGCTTGTAGTCGTCGCGATCCTCCTTATACGCTTCTTGTCCTTTCTCTGAGAGTTCTGACACTCGCGTTGGTATAGTGGGGATTTGTGAGGTTGTTGTCGACATTTCTGTAGTGTCTTGTGCTGATCCTCGCGTGTTGCATCTAGCGTTTCGGGTGGTATGCGATGAGGCAGCTGAGGGGCTACTTGACGGTTCATACTGCGAAATGTCTGGGGGTAGCGGAGCCTCCGGTTAGATGCGCTGGAGTCGCACTCCTTCGGGGTCCAACAGTGGCCAAATGCCTTGCGACTGGCATTTCAGCTTAAGTTGGCGGTACCAAGGGATCCAGTTGCTTGAGTCGGTGAGGATGACCGTCGCATCCCGTTGGGTCTGGATTGTTGCCATTTTCGTGGTTTTATCGCTCGTTATTAAGGCAGTGAGACTCTTAATTGTCAGATATAATAAGATATTGCACAAAAGTAATGGATGTTGATGATTGTGTGTATTGTGTTCTGTCTATCGTGTGTCCGCGCTTGTGGCCCTCTTGAGGGGCGCACTGACCCTCTCTACGCTGATTGGTTGCTGCCAACGTCGAGTAACCCTGCTATCTGACAGTATTGCTATCTGTTGTCGTGTTGTGATGTATGTGTACAAGAGCTCTCGGCTCAGAGGTAAGTGCACTTGCCCACCGGGCAGTGCCTGCTACAATAGGATGTCATGTGACTCTAGTCACGTGGTTACATTGGTAGGCGAGGCTTGTTATTGTAGGTGTTGTTGGGTCTTCTTTCGCTGCCTCCTTGGCTAAGCTATCGGCTCTTTCATTTCCTTATATGTCTGTATGGCCGGGTGCCCACTGGAGGTGAATGTTGGCTTGTTTTGTTTTGATAGTTTTTGCCGCTCTGAGGCAGACTTGCTATCAGTCAGTTCAGTCAGTCCGGAGACCTCCGGACTGACTGAACTGATGTTTGAAGGTCACTGAACTGGACTGGACTGAACTGACGTTGCCGCTGCTGTGGACTGACTGAACTGACCTGGACTGATCTAAACTGACCTGGACTGATCTAATCTAAATTAACTAATATCAAACTGGGATAGCTGCTCTTGTATTTTTGAAATTTCTTCCTCTGATAGTACACCTGCTGGCCCATAAGTAGACATGGTTGCTGGCTGTATACCAAGCCTCTTCCAGCTCTTTAAACTCTGTAAAGCTGCGACAAGCTCTGGCTTCATATGGAGTCTCCGCGTGCCTAACATGTCGCCAAGCTCGCTGAATGTCCGCTCGCAGTCTGCTGCTGCCGCCGGTATTGTGAGTATATTAATAGCAAACTTAGAGAGTAATGGAAATTGTCCAGCAACTGACTCCCAGTAGAGCAGCGGGTTAAGCGATAGCCGATCCTCTTCAGCTAACGCCGGTTGCCGCCTCCAGATCTCATATTCATCCTCCCTCAGACCTGCCTCTACCTGCCGCAGATTGGTCTCAATCGACGACTGCAGAAAGGCTGATCGCGACGATGACAACCCCAGCCGGGGCTTCTTTTGCGGCGGCGTTACTGCGTCGGCTACGTCGACCGCAGCGTTGCTCCGCTCCTGCCACATTCGCAAGAACGCCCGATGGTTATTATCAAGCCAGCCATCGCGATAGTGGACGCCGTCGCGGGCGGTGATATGGGTGTTAGGCACCTTCCAGAGCGCCGCAAGGTGGTTTTTGTAGTGCGGGTGGAGGATCGTAGCGGCATAGTAAACAGGCGCGTTATCGAATTTTTCGTAGTACTCGGCAAGCTTACTATGCGCAAGGTTAACGTGCGTAACAAGATGGTCTTCGGGCGCGTCAGGATCTTCGTAATTGTAACGGTTTGGGTCCTGCCAAGACATATTCTGGTACAAGTTGGGTACTACTCTCGCTACCACACTTCGTACATCCCACATTCATATATATAGCTGCCCACCTTCGTAGCTACACCAACAATGCAACCCCACTCTTCCTCAATCCTACCGTTACAGTTATGAGCCCGGCTTGCCGTTAATCGACTGCATTCACATCCCGCTTTAGTTAAGACTTACTGTTATAATCGGTCTAACAGTAGACGTCTATCTTAACGACAGCAGTTATCATCAGCTATCACCATGGCTACAATGAATAGTGATCTTCTGATTACGAAGACGACGGTGATTCTCGATCAACCGTCAGATTGGCAGAAGTGGATCTTCCTGCGCAAAGATAGCGCGCAGCGGAACGATCTATGGGCGTACGTTAATCCTAACGTTGCGACAGAAATGGTACTTAAGCTCGAAGATGAGAAGCCCGCAAAGAAGGAAGCAGGTGCTTTCTACGGACGGGAGCGACAGGTCGGCATGGTTTACGACCTCGAGCATCTCGATGAGCACGAATACCGGAAGTACTCAGCTTGGTACACTAGTTACCAGAAGGAACTAACAAAGTTCGAAAAGAAAGAACTTGCTTTAAGGCAGTTCAACAGCGAGATCGCGACAACGATCTCAGAGCGTCGGCTACATTGGATCATGAATCTAGATACGCCGCACGCACGATTGAGGAAACTAAAGAACCAGCTCTGTCCATCGACAGCAGAGCGAGAGACTCAGCTACTCTCGCAATATATAGCGCTTCGCAAGATGCCAAAGCGCGCTAATATCGAATCCTGGCTCGACAGCTGGGAGGAGCTCCTTGAGCTCATGGCCGCGGCTGAGATGGCAGAAGTGAAGGGTACAAGGGCACAGCGGGACTTTCTCGACTCAGTACAATCGACTGATGATTCATGGGCTACATCACAAAGGATTAGCATGATCACAAAGCAAGAGGAAGGAGAGTCCTTCTTACCAGCAGTTGATCTTGTGGGGCGATTTCGACTGTACTATCGTCAAATGAAACCAGTGGCTTCAACGCTAGGAACCTTTGCGGCGTTAGGCGACCCACAGGAAGTATCCCAACAATCTCAGATATCCCAGGATACTGATAAGTTTCGAAAGATTAACTGCCTGTGTGGAGAGAAGCATCGCTTTATTGATTGTCCGTACGTCAACTCAGCAAAGCGTAGCTCTGGATGGAAGGCGGATTTAGATATGAAGAAGAAATTCGATACCATCCGAAGCAGAGGCGAAGGCAGCAGAATCTCAGCCGTTTTGAGATCAGTAGAAGCAAAGCTCGCTAAGCAAGGTCAGCAGAGTAAGCCTCAGTCAGCTGCCTTTGACGATGGAAGCACGAAGAGTGGTCGGAGCTCAAATGCATGTCTCCAAGTAGAGGCTACTCAGCAGCCTTCATCGCTACTAACGCGATGGATACTCGACCCAGGATCGAACCTACACGTGTCTAATCATCGAAATTCGACTTGGCGCAAGCTTGCAGATGCCAACGCCCATGATGAGATCTTGGCTGGAGGTCAGCGTATTCCGATCAAGGAATGGGGTGAGGTTGAGATCATGATTAACACGCCGCACGGAACATCTCCAATTAAGCTTACTTGGGTAGCGTATATCCCGAGCTTCTTTACCTCTCTTGTCGCTCTCTCACGATGCCGTACGATGGGAATTGAGTTCGACTCAGGTCGAGACTGCCTATACCAGAAGTCGCCAAAGAACGTCGTGTGTAAGCTTAGTCCCGAAGGAGGGCATTGGCTGATGGATTCGGACGAAAATGAGAGACCGCGTGTAGAAGACCTGCGGTCTACGACTGTAGCAGAGTCTACTAGTGTAGCAAAGTCTGTTAATGCAGCAGAAAAGAGAAGGATTCAAGCGGTGAAACCATCATACGCTGATCGACGACCGCTTGAGCTAACGGCGGAGGAAGCCCATGAGATTTGGGGCCACCCGAGCGCTAAGGTTATCTCAAAGCTCGAGCAGGGTGTCGATGGTGTAAAGATTAAAGAAGGCACAATAGCGCCAACTTGGGAGACCTGTACGACATGTATTGAAGCAAAGCTTCATAAGTTTAAGAGCAGAAGGCCTCCGCGAGAACCAGCCACCCGACCATTCGAAAGATTGGCTATCGATCTTGTACAGCTGCGTAAGACAGGCGAGCGCTGCTATAACGGTGACGTTTGGCTATTACATGCGGTGTGCCAGAATTGCAAGCTCCACCTAGCCGCATGCCTACCAAACAAGTCAGCACCAATGCTCTTAACGACAATCGAACACTTGCTAGCACGAATTGAGACTCAATATGGTGTCAAGGTCCGCGCAATAAAGATCGACGGCGAGCGAGGATACAGCTTGCTACACCAGCTCTTTCTTGACCGAGGTATTGAGATTGAAACAAGAGCTCCGTACACGGAGGAGCAGAACGGCCTCATCGAGCGCGCTGGCTCGACAATAATCGCCCGAGCTCGCGCAATCCGAATTGGATCCGGTCTGCCCAAGGAGCTGGCCAACGAGTGCGCCATGACCGCAGTATATCTGCTCAATCGAACACCAGTCGAGTCTCTTAGCTGGAAGACGCCTTACGAAGTCGCAGGTGGACACAAGCCTTCGATGGCTCACCTAAGCAAGATAGGCGCACAGGCGTACTACCTCAACAACAAGCTGAAGCGTGGTGACAAGATGGAGTCTCGAGCGCTCATTGGTCATTTGGTTGGATACGATTCCACCAACATTTTTAGGATATGGCTCCCAGAGTCACACACTGTTATCCGCACCCGAGACGTCGTGTTTCGTTCGAATACGAGATACGACGGCAGCACAGTCTACGCAGATTTGAGGGTGGCACGTACAGTAAAGACAGTACTTGATATTGCCGACTACGAAGGCGAGGTAGAGGAACTAGAGATTAGCGAGCTTCTAGAGCTCGCTGCTCCGCTTGATTCGCAGGGCACTAAGATGCTAGAAGAGGATGAAGCACATGATCAGTTGATAGAAGAGCTATTACAGCAGTCAGCAAAAGGGGAACAGAGCAAACCAGTGAGATCGATTGACCTGGGAGGATCACTAGTCTCGCCTAATACGATAGGAAGGAGAAGTAGGGACGCGAGTGTTGAAGAAGAGATCAGCTTGCCAAAGGGCTACGAGCCAGTGCAAGGGGATCAAGAGGCGCCGAATCGTCGCGAGAACAATGCGCCAAAGCGAACGGATCCTGCAATCACTTCAGATAACATCGTTGCCGGTAAACGTACTAGAGGCAGCGCTCATGCGGCGTATCTCTCCACTTTCGCAGTAACGTATCTGTCGACCTTTGCCTCAGCAATCAATCCGGTTAAAGTACGAGAGCTTCACGAGCCTGAGAAGGTTCGCCTCCATCGAGATTACCTGCCACCTCCACCAAAGCGTTGGTTAAATCTCGAAAGCCATCCGTTTGGCAACCGCTTCAAGCTTGCAGCACAAGCTGAAATGGACGATATAATGAGAAAGGGCTGTTTCAAGCCAGAAGCTCACGAAGAAGGCGTCGCCGAGGGTGAGAT